ATGGATTTGACCTTCAACATCGAGTTACTACATTTTCCTCATACGTGACGAATTATCATTGCATAGAAAAAAGTTATTTGTGTAATTTTTAAGAATATCAGTTGATAAAATAATGATTAACCAAACCCGTTATAATAAAAAATTACGTTATTTTAACAAAATGCAATAGCATTTCCATTACAAGATACCATTTCGCTGGCACTTCCCCCAACGACTACCATTCCTTATTGCCAATCGTAAATGCTAGTTTATTCCGCAGAAACTGCTTACCGTAGCAACCAACTCCTCTGGCATTACGTTATTTAAATTTTTTCCGCAGTAAGCATCCTAGTTTAAAATAATTTAAAATAATAATTTCAGGTTAGGTTATACCTGTGCTATAAAATCCATTGTCAACATATTAGTTCCCATCTTCTATAAAGTAATAGTTTCTTGTAATATTTTTAATAGAAAATATCAGCTCCATGATATAAAGAAAATAGCGAAATATTATTTTTAGAATTATTGTGCATCTGATTTTAAATTTTTGGATTTGAATATTTACTTGAGATGGTTTTCCCCATTATTTAGTTTATTTGATGATAATTGGATTTAGGTATACTTTAATCAGCCTATAAAATATTCTTGTTATTTCAATCCTACAAAAAATAGTTTAGCTATAGATTCGCTTACATTTTAAACAATTTCCAGTCAATTTTGACATGATAAAAAAAAAAATTAATAAAACATAGCAACATGACTTTTGTCATCAAAACTCTTCTTCAGTATGATAACATAGAACTGCATCAGAAGCTGTCAGAATAGAGAAAAAAGCAGGATGGATATGACGTCTAATAAGATTTTAGTGGTAAACAATATTATTCAAAGAGTAATTAAGTCTTGGATAAGTTCCAAATAACCTAAATAACTTTTCGATATTGGGACTATTCACACAACACTATTTTCATTACTGATGCGCTTACACTAATGTCACAACCATTATTTACAAAAAAAAAAAGGAAAAAAAGAAATTCTTTATCTGTATCGACCATTTCTGAAAACGATTTATTATTTAGTAATTAAAAATCATTAAAATTTAAATGAGGACGCTTTTGGAACGAAATGAAATTCAAGTTACATTTTAAAATTTAAAATGTTAATTGGGGTTTTGATTTAGATAGATAAAATGGTATATAATTTGGTTGTAAAAATTTATTAAAATTGTATTGTAAAAATTCAACTTTTTTTTACAATGATAGAATAAAATTTTCGTTAAAAAATATGTAAAACAAAAAGAAAAAATAGTTTGACTTATTTCCATTGTCAACTTCCTAAAGGTTTTGAATTATTTTTGATAACTATATACTGCTTCCTACACTGGTTTCTTACATTTTTTTTTTCATGTTTCATTCACACAGATGTCTCATCCACGACGCAGAATAAAGTTAAATGTAATTTTATTTGTAAGGCAATTGCTCTATTGTAGTTAATGGCCATGATGACCCGCTTTTACACTCTCGAATCTTAGCGGCACAGGCTCGAATCTGGCAGGTAGAATTTTATTTCATAACTATGAACGTGACAGGGATTGTAACAATTGTAAGAATGTACGTGAAACTAGCATGATAAAACTTTTTCTTGTATTTTGATGAATGGCTATATCAACATAAATGGTCTTCTTTCTCTTTTATAGCCTACAGGCATCCGTATCTTATAAGATTAGAAGAATCGCCGAGGAAGCCAATAGGAGGAAGGCTATTAAGAGATTAGGAGAGAGAGAGCAAAAGGGCAAGAAATTTATGAGAATCTCATTAGGGAAGAGACGGTAAACAAAGTCATATGTCGTACAAGTTCCCCTTCCAATCAAGGCGTTCCTTAAATCGTCCTTTTATCTCCTCTGAGGGAAGGGGGACGAGTCTTCAATCTTCTTTGTTTCCCATATCCACAGACATTTCAGCCAGTACATGCTTTTTCACCTTCTTGGTATTGAACAAAATTAACTTCGTACTAAAAAAATAAAATAAATAAAGCAATATATTGATGTATATAAACCAGGAGAAACAATATAATCCTAATAACACTTCTTTCATTTTTTTATGTCAGCACGAAGAATAATAACAAGTATGTAAATCAATATGTCTACTTAGTGTTACCATATAACTTTAAATGCATTATTAAAATTCAACAATTTTTATAACATTTTTGTAACAAACATAGATGGCAAACGTTGCCTCATTTTACTATTTTTCACATTATTAATCTATTGTTGATCACGAAATAATAATTTGTATTGAGATAAATTTATTTTTTGATGATGGATAAAAATTTCTATATTGTCAGAAGCCGTTTAATATGAGAAAAACTAGTGCCAAACTAAATAAATCGATTTTTAGTTGTACGTATCAGTCACAACTTATAGTAAGTTGATAATTAACTGTTTAGCAGGAGACTTGCAGCTTTTACAGGAAAACTGCCAAAGAATATTTCTGAAGAAGTTCATTGTGAAAGAACTGAAACCACTTAGACCAAGAGCGAGACATCCATCATCGTCGGGAATAAGCCTCCAGGTCAGCCACCCATCTCCGCGCCTCTTTGATAAAGAACAACCGAGATTAAGGAGTTTTCATGGACAATCTTATCTTCCAAACAAGGTCATCTGTGAACCTTATCTCGAGAATTCTCTTGTTATTATTATTCTAATGGACTAATAGGGGGGGAGGGGATTGTTTAAGAAAACAAACTCATTAAATGAATTTTGGAACTATAGTTTTTATTTTAAAACTAAGATATATAATAAAATATATTTTTTTTTTGCTTTAAATATTTATTTTCATCTACTAACTTGTGCTGACAATAAGCAAATGTGCTGAAACATGATAAATAATGATATGTCAGGATACCAACTATACTACGTCACGCATATACTATTTCATTCTTCAGTCTTCCCTTTCCGACAGGGCTTAGAAATTTCCTCAATTCGACCAAGGTCGGGAGGAGTTCCTCAAGGATCAATATTGGTTCCTTAACTCTACATTATATATACCCATGACATGCTTACCGACTCCGAAACATTAATAGCAACTTACGCTGACGATAAATTTTAACAAAACAGCAAATTACTAGCCAGACTAGCCAAATTTACAAAAGTATTCACTTTGTAGTTAAGAACTTAAAACTTAGAGAGTTTGGTTTGAATCACAGGTAGGTCTACAGGGAGAGAGGGGCTTTCGAGCTGAGGCCTTCTCCCCAAAAATGGTAAGATGTAACCATGTTTTACGGTAAAAAATATTTATATATTATCTCCTAAAGTATTACCGTTCGTGTAATTAGATTAAATAGGACTTCAAGGATCACTTTAACACCATTTCATAAAGGTAGGTAGTATCTTTCTTTCTTTCCAAAGTAATTATCGATATATATATATATATATATATATATATATATATATATGCGTGTGTGTGTGTGTGTGTATAAAGCTTTAGGGCTGAAGCCCACCAGAATTGAATCCTGGATCCGCAAGTGGTATGACTGTCTTAATTACGGAATAAAATTATTGTGTATTGTTTCCAGTTTCTGTAAAAATATCGGACTATACAGGGGTAATTTTTACTTCATTGCTGTAACAACACGAGTAGATTTGAATCTAGGACACTTAAGAAGATGACACCTGAACCTCATAGTGATATCACGATACACTGGGTCTGTGTTTCAGTGAGGTTTCCTTATCACTTTTCTTTAGTGAATAGCTTTGAGATTTTGATTTTCTTGTTAAAAAATGTGAAGAAAATATTTTGTTTTTTTTAATTATATAAAAAACCTGTTGACACCAAAACCTGGGTGTCTATTAACGGTACAAAATACGCTGTCGTCAATTTTCTTGAGTTTTTCACCAATAATAAACTTTTGACTGTACAGAAAAAAAAAATTGGTAAAAGACTAAATTTACTGTAAATTAAACACATTTACAAAGATCCACCTACAGAACTTTTGTGATTCACAATATTGTTGACAATTTCTCTTCAAGTGTCTATTACTGGTACATTTATCTTAAATATCCCATTATATAAATACATAATGTATTAAAAATAAAATGGTATGGGGAGCACGGATAGGTCGAAGTAATCCACCTCTTTATAATTAAAACAATGACGTATCTACCCAACCATGAATGCCAAGCTAGTAAAACAGATGCCACATGGATTACCTGATAGTTGACAGAAAAAAGAAATCCACATAGCTACTAATAAGATATTAGAAAAAAACAACATAAGCAATTCTATTTAATAGAATGCAAACGTATGAGTAACAGTGCCAGAAATCATGCTTAAATGGACAATTGATTTAAAATAGAGTAGCACAAAAATGATAATGGCGCGACAGGCAGAAATTGTTTGATAAATATACAATATTAATTTAAAAAATCAAAACAAACATCTTAAACAGTTATCGTAAAATTACCAATTAACGTAAATTTATAATCTTGTATAATCATTTTATTCTACCAATATTCAATGGCGAAAACTATTATTATTAAAACACTTTATTCAGAAATATTACAATTTGTCACAGTTAAGGACACTTATAATAGAGTTCAGAGATTGCATTCATACCGTATATACAAAAATATAAATAAATAAAGTAATAACAAAAGAATAAGAAGAAAGAACAAAAGAGTAAAGAAAAAGAAAATATATATATACACATAAGTAAATAAAAATAGAAATGAAAGTAAAACAAACACCTTATATAAAACATACATTATTTACAATTTGCCAGGTGATCTCCGAACCAATCCTGTCCCCTCCACATGTGGAGGGAAAAGGGAGGCTTAGGAGATCCCTACGCTTCTCCCTCAGCCACTTCACTGGTATTTTAAACCAGCGGAGGATGAGTAAGAGCGCTACAGCCACAGACACTCATGAATTCTACCAATAAACCTCGAAATAAAATTTGTAAACACGAGTTTAAGCGGTTTATTGAAAGACACGCATAAGGATTTTTAATCGCGAAGAGACGATACTATGCTATGTAATATCACGTCCACATGCCGTTTACCCTTAAGCCAGGCCATATCTCACGGACAGTTTGATAAAGAAGAAAGATATATAGTTGAAGACGTGGATACGTGCGGCAGTTTCTGTGCAACAAGTCAATGCCATAAAAGTGAAATGAAAGTGTGTATGTTCTGGGTGAGTTGAAAAAATGTATAGTGATAGAGTGCGTCTGACATCAAAATTTCTAAAATTAATTTCCAATCCAATTCCATAAAAATTTTAAATTTTTAAATTAGTTGATTATTGTTATTTTCGTTCAATCAGCGTCTCCGATTTGAAACATGCATATATTTTTTTTCTAATGAGAACTGTACAAATTATCTTTTAGGAATCAGAAATATTTTATTAATATAATTATGAAATTTAATGTTAATTTTTTTTTCAAATATGTGTGTAGCATATAGATTTCCAAATTCCTAATATTTCTAATGTGAATCAGTGAAACCGGTGTAAAGTGATCACACTTTTTTTGGTTGCCGAGAGTCTATTTGGCAAAAATTGCGCACAGAAAATTTTAATGTATGGATTGATACAAAAAATCGTATTTAAGGATATTTCGAGGTACGAAAATCGAATATCAACTTTGTTTCTCCCTAAAATATTTACTATAACCAAATATAGATTCCAGACCGATTTTTAATAAACACTAAATAATGAGATGATCATTTGGACCGACCGACGTAGCAATATTTTTTAGGAAGAAACAGACTTGATATTCGTTCATATAATAAATGAAAGAGTAAAGGTCAATTTCATTCCATTTCGTTTTTTTTTTTTTTTTTTTTTTTTTTTTTTTCTAATATATAAAAAAGGTTGAAATCCACAAAAACATATTTGAATGTTAACCTATTACAAAAATGCACTTAGTGAGGTTTTGCAATAAACCAATGATACTTATTTAAACCTATGAGTTGCTGGCTAATTCTGTTCAATATATGATGAAATCTACAATTGAAGACAAAAGTATGATTTATTCTACGACTAATGGTGTCGAGTACTTGTAACTTTGTCAAGCAAAGATTCTTGGTTTCACGTGATTTCTCATTTGCTTGAATAGATCACGTTTCTAAAAAATTATATGATGTCTATTGGGTGACAGAGAATCAAATTACATATTTTTTTTTATACAACTAGAGGTGAATCTCAACCTAATCCGTAACGAAACCCAACTTGATTACAACGGAATTAATGCTCACTAAGCAGGGAAGTTTATCTAAAAGTGTGGTATCTGAAGTATGATTGAACGGTGATCAAAATTGTCAATAATTCATGTTTTTTTTAAGGAAATTTCTCTTAGTTCAGCTGCTTAGAAACCCACTTACAGTGGATATAACAGACAGCTCTAATTTCATTTGGAGTAAATTTTGTATAGTTTACTATGTAATACTAATTACCGAACTCAAATATTTTTTTAGTTGTCATTTTCTATCCAACAAAAGATGTGACACTTAAAAATACACAAAAATTTAATTTCTAACTTTTATGTGCAATTCTAACTCTCGTCGATACAAACCATGGTGCCGCGGCTGGTTGCATAGCCGATCTCTTTGGGTCAATATGGCAAGGACAAGTTCAAGGACTGTGATAAATCTATCTAGATCTATGGATTATGGCTGCTCACTGCCAGCAGGCGAACCTTTAAAAGCTCGTGGGCCTTTATATCTTACTATACAATCTAGGTCGTCCATGGACCATATCTATGGGGGACTTCTGACATCCTGTAAAACCACAGCCCGATTCCCGATTTGAGTTAACTTTTTAAGAGAGAGCAAGTTATTAATGGCATAGACAAAAGTGTCCTCCCCAATTCCTCCTTCCCATATCATCGGTACGCACTTTTAATTATTTTATCATATAAAATTCAATTTATCAGATTGCCGGAAACGCATACTTGCACACGCGTTAAACCGCACAGCTAGCCCGCCCACAAATGCTTATACTATACCGAGGACTCAGTACGCTCGACGTTGCTTAACTTACTGCAAGCGTCTTAACCTTAGCCCGCTCGACTATTTCGTCCCCTCCCTTTTAATATATATATATATATATATATATATATATATATATATATATATATATATATATTAACACACAGTGTGTGTGTGTGTGTGTGTGTGTGTGTGTGTGTGTGTGTGTGTGTGTGTGTGTGTGTGTGTGTGTGTGTGTGTGTGTGTGTGTGTGTGTGTGATTGTAATATTTTACAACCAATTACCAATTCAAAATGTTACATGTATAAAAATAATTTATCTTCTTTTCAGGTTTGTCTGCTATTTGCAATAACTGCGTTATTGGAAGTGGGAGTGGATGACGTGCTTAACAACCTCAAGCTGCTTCAAAGCCTGAATGTGCTAAGCCCAGTGCAACAAACCAACATAAACAAACCTTACACATATAAATACTAAAGTGAAGCAGCGTTTGGTTGTGAAAGAAATCTACATTTGTCAGAAATGTTGCCAATACCACCTAAAATTCTCAGTAAAATTTACGAACATAGTTTACTGAAATTGGTATTCAATTTGGTATTAGTTGCCATCATTTTGAGTTCATTGTTATTATTTTTATAGATGTAAATTTCAAAAGTATTGTAAGAAATGTTGTAAATAAATACTATTAAACTGTTGAAGCATTATTAATCGGAATACCTTTTTGACAACTCTCTAAAATATAAATATACTAAATCAAAATACCGTTGGGAAGTATATTTTTTCAAACAGGTTTATGATTATGTTTACTATTAGTATTTGATTAATTGAACATTGAAATATTTACTATAAAACAATAATCGAAAAGACGAATGATGACTCAATCAACATCTGAACTTGACCTAATTTTTTGTTCAATAAGCAATTGTTCTCGATTTCTACATTTGATAAACATCAATTTCAACAGGATTAAACATGAATTTGTTAATAACTGTAATGCGATCAAAATAGTCTGTTTAATTAATCGCTTTATTATTAAAAAAAAAAAAATTCTGAGCTCTGATTTTATATTAATAGTACTGTAACACAGTTTATTCAAGTTTACTTAAAAAATGTAAACTTTAAAGAAGTAGAAAGAATTATTAATGAGAGCAGTTATTTGTGCCAGCCACAACTCAACGTACGAATATATAAACAACTTTAAAAGTGGTAAGTAGTTTAAACGGTTCATTTATTTTTATTTCTGAAAATAAAATAAAAATAAATAAACGAAAAAAAAAAACAGTTTTAAAAGTGAGCAAAACTTCTAAAAGCTCCATGGCTCCCTACAACGGAGAAAGCATTCAAAAGGTTTCAGTACTAAGAGCTCGCTCAAGTTAGACTCTTTCAAAGCACTAAATCAAGATATGTTTAAAATAAACTTGGCAAAGGTTAATTACTTCGTTTTTTTTTCTTTCTCCTTCAGCTTCAACAGTTATAGATCAGGCAGCCCACTACCATTATATGGACTGCGTCTTATTTCTAATGGCCAATAAATGAAAGCATACGTTTAAATGATTTGCATAATTGCAAAAATTAACGTGTGGAGGGTGTTATAAACTTTAATTTTATAAAGATGTTGCTTTAAAAAGTCATGTTCAGTAAACAATCAAAATTTAGGTACATCCCTTTTCGGCATGTCTACAGGTAACATTTCTTGTTCAATCAATGTTAAATTTCTTCCTAACAGTATTTACCTTAGGCATTTCAGCCATTTAAGCTGTTTATCCTTCTTTTCTCCTCTAACCATTTGGAATGTTATTCTCTTTTCTGGCTGCTTTAATGCAGTACGTTCTTTGGTCAGTTTATCAGCTTCTGTGGAAACCACAATGTCTTGATATCCATAGAAAGATTATCTTCTAGAGAGTTAGTGCTAACTCTCATGAGTTCAGAAGCTGAATATCCTAAAACATGTTCTGCCATACTTGGAAACAGGTATACCCACGAAGAGTAGATTAATGAATGATAGACGATGCAAAACCATCCAAAAGGCAAGTGAACGAGTTCAGGGAATCCAATTATACAGCATAGCGGACAGAGATAAGGAATTAGTGCAACAACAATTAAATGTAAATACTCAGTTATACTGTAATGGAAACAACAGGAAAAACTCTAAAAAATAACGTAGTAATCGACACCCTACTTAAAAGAATGCTATTAATAAGATTTGAGGGGACTCTAAGGGAAATGTTTTCCCCAGCAGATGATAGATTTCGTGAAAAGAATGCGTTATAAACATTCACAAAAACTGACCTTATTAATTAATAAAAATTAAGTTAATAACGATACAAATAAATTGAAGAAAATATGGCTGACGCCTTGTTCTATTCAATCTCAAATAAAGTAGACGGTATTGTAAAAACCACTCATAAAAATGAAAAATATTGGATTAAATATTAATATACCTTTGATAAAAATTTAATGAACAGCTTAGTTTATCGAAAAATTTGTATAAGACTCTCCAGTATCATATAATATGTTAAGAAATTTGTTATGTAATGTGATTGGGTTTGAAAAATGACTAAGTAATGAAAAATGTAAGAAACAACAGACAAGATGATGAACATACTGACGAACGACTTTCAACAACAATTCAATATTGTCAATAAACATTAATACACAGTGGCTCACAGTCGAAATGACAAACCTAGATATTGATAGTAATTATTGAATAAACAAATAGTTCAATTTATATTACATTAAAAAATAATAATTTATTGTAATCAATAAACATTCTAGTAAAGCTATATTTTCTTATGTTTCTTTTCTTGTTCATATCTTATTTTTTATGTTCTTTTCTTATGTTGTGTTTTTTTGGTGTGGGCTTTTATGATGGCTTCCGGTATAGGAAATCTTTACTTTATAGTTGACATATTCACATGGTATAGTGAATAAAAATGTTTACACAGACATTTTGAGAAGAAACTTGAAATTTGCAAAAATTTGGGCTAGTAACAAATTTTGTTTTTATGAAGATAATTGTCCCTAACACTCTTCCATGTTAGTTTCCCTGTTATGTCAGCTAAACTTCTGTTATGTCAGCAAAGAACATATGATTTCTTAATTATCACAAGCAGACTGGAAATAGTCATTTGGTTTCCGAACAGAACAGGGCGACAGAAACATGTTCTTCATTTTATTTTTATCGTTTATTTACTTAATGTTTATTAATTAATTAGGTTAATTTTAGTGAATGCTTGTAACGCATTCTTTTCACGTAATTTATCATCCGATGAGGAAAACATTTCCCTTAGTGTTTCCTTAAATGTTATTAATACTATTCTTTTAAATGGGGAGTCAACTACCAAGTTATTTTTTAGAGTTTTTCCTTATGTTTCAATAACAGTATAGCTGTCTATTTAATTTTAACTGTCGTTGCACTAATTCCTTATATCTGTCCGTTATGCTGTATAATTGTAATTCCATAGTTCGTTCATAGCGGATGCTTTTGCTATATATTTTGTATTTTCAATTACATAAATATCACTGCAACTGCTTATCAGATGGGGAAGACGAAATGAAAATATTTAAGGGAAAAATCCATTAATAGATACTAAGAATCTACTATAAGAAAAGGTTTGACAATCTCGTAGATAGAAAGAAATGGTCTCTCGCATTGTTTGTACAATAAACAACAATTGTATCTTGAACGAATAACAGTCTTCGCTTGATAACTTCAGGAGGACGAAAGTAATCAAATTCATAGTAAATTTGTAAAATTCGCATTAAATTAACGTAAATTAAATATTTCACCATTACACGCTAGAGAAAAGCTGCAAACAAATACGTTTAACTCGGAGCATCCAAATAACTCTATTTTATATTGAATTTGAAATTAGTTGATTAGTCAAGACTGAAGGTGAAAACTGTTTAATCACTAATACGATCCAGTTAAAGTGCTAAAGAAGGCAAGCGAGAAAAAAAAAATGTAGCATTTACTCTAGGACACATTATAGTTTAATAGAAGAGTAATAGAATCAACGGTAATAAAAATTGAACCGTTTCTGCTGAAAACGGAGAAACTCTAGCAAATACATAACTAGATCTATGTATAAATACCTCAATAGGCCGAGAATATAAGAAGTTTTTAAATGCTAGAAAATATAAACAAAATTAGTTGCGTTATAAAATAGATTATTTCTTGTGTATTTCAAGCGGAATGGTTGAATATGATCACAATAATAATAAACAAAGGAAGGAGTAAAAAAAAATGCAAAAAGGTTTTAGGTATGAACAGTAGCGTAACCAAGTTTGAGCACGTCTAGGTATTACATTTGTTGGACGTGTTCATCCCACCGTTAACTGCACAAGTACCAATGATGATTCCATAAAATATCCTTAACAATGAGTTTAGAAAATCTAAACCATAAATCTTTGCAACAATATAATAAGCGTAATGCTATGACACGGAATGCTAAAATAGGAATATTAATGATGAATTCTGATACGCATGATCACCTCTTATCATTCACGCCTCAACCATTCTGATATAGCCTCAAGGCAGCATATGAAAGACACATTAGTGTGCATTTATTTTTACATTCGTGTAGAATATTATAGCTCCAGAATCTAAATGTAATAAAGCCATCTGAATTCATTATATCACGTTTAATTCTGAATAACAAATATCAACAATTTCAAGAACATCTCACATCCAGCAACTAACAGACAATGAATGATAGACTCGAATGAATCCTGAAATATCAACGAATCTTGTTCTGCGATCGTCTTCTTTCGTAAATGCAAGAATTACCGGTGACGCAAATGGCGAATCCGATTCCTCAATAAAATCACCTTCTAGTAATTTTTTAATTAGCGTCTTTATATCCTGTGCATCTAGTACAAAACATTTATAGACCCAGATGGTCTAAATGGTACAAAATATAGAACATTTATTTATTTATATTAGTTATTTAACCAATTTGACGTTATGTATGTAAGGTTACTTGAGCAACCTTTAAACACTTCAACTGTTACTTATCTTTAAATCAGATGTTAATGATTATTTATTAGAAAATACCTTCTTGTATTGTTATATTGAATTAGTGTTATAATTAACTTGTGTTGTAATAACGTGTAATTAAATTCTTTTACTTTAATTGAATAAATCACGTCTTTAAAAGATCTTAGATGTATTAATGAGAAGCTCACAACAATTGAATTTGTATTTTTGTATTTGTATTGTAAATTGTATTTGTAGATAACAAATTCGGTCTTTATAATAAACCTACTTGAGTTGTTTTGAACTTCTAATAAAAAACCGTATCAATGTAAAAGATGAATAAAGATCTCGAATATACCCAATACCTGAGATCAAGAACATTTTAGCATAAATTTAATGTTTCCATTCCCAATCCTCCATCATATTTAATCAAATTTAATATTTCAAGTTTTCCATGGTGTTCTTGAACGCAATAGTGCAGATATTAATGACTTCTAGC